AAGCTTCCTTCATCTAAGTTTATAAACCATAAGAAGAATGAAGATAGAAATGGGGGTAAAGGGGGAATTGCTACAGTGTTCCGGTGGAAAGACACAAAAAGGAAACTTGTTCTTCAAAGAACTAAGTAGCATCTTAATGCTCAAGTAATTGTCTGTGGTCACATGAGAGAGGCCTTTGTAGCACATCGAGTTGGTTTAATCTTGAAATCACAGTGAAAAAGAGAAAACAGCACTGGACAAAAATAAGGGGCCTGGTTTCAAGGATCTCTTTAGAAATCTGGGAGAAAGGGGAGTCTGTCATTAGGGTTTGCGGCACTCCTGCTCTGGGGGTCATGTCATCGCCTGGAGAAGGGCAGTGTTCCATGCAAGGCATCTGAGCTCACCACTCTTCAATAATTCAATAGGGTCTTGCATGGGAATTCCTCATCTTGGGGATTAGTGAGCAACAAATCTACTTTGTAGATACCAATGTTTGGCTAAGGGAAAAAAGAAAAATGGAAATGACCTTGTAAACGGGAGTCAGGTGAAAGAATGTAGCACTGTGATCTTCCCATTAGAATCACATGGATTGGACCTTAATCCTCTGTCAACTCGCCCCCCCTTCCTGCCATCTTCCCACTGAGGAAACTGAAGCTCAGGAGGGGAAAGTCACAAAGCCAGCTCTTCCAGGGCCACGACTGGTCCCCAACTGTCTGAACTCCATTTCAGGGCTGTTTCTTCTATACCACCCTATGATCCCCCATCCATTTCCAATTTGTGATTGTGTGTACACTGAGACCCTCAGACACCCAGATATCACCTGAGTCGTTCCCGGGGATGCAGGGATATCAGTTAATGTTACATGAGCATGCAAACTGCACAGATCCTGAGGGGAAAAGAATGTCCTGTTGAAGACTATCTCTGCTGCTTGGGTCACTGCACAGAGGGACACTGTGGCACAACCAGCAAAACCGGTTCTGGGTAGAACGCTGATCCTTATGCCAGAACCATGTTGTAATTGAGGCTGAGAATCTGGAGTTAATCCCCAGACCTCATTTTAACTAACACTTTTAACACCTTCCCTAGCCCAACTTTTTCCTATAGATAAAAATTTTTTTTTTACTATTTTTATTTATTTATTTGAGAGAGAGTGACAGAGATAGCGAGAGAGAGTATAAGCAGGGAGGAGAGGGAGAAGCAGGCTCCCCACTGAGCAGGGAGCCCGATGCGGGACTCGATTCCAGGACCCTGGGATCATGACCTGAGCTGAAGGCAGACGCTTAACCGACTGAGCCACCCAGGCGCCCTCCTATATTAAACAATTAGAGTTTCACCTTTCCTTTCTTCTACTCATGCTAAAGGAGAGCTAGAAATAAAATGTAAGGTGGCAACAAAAGAAAGAAGTAGGAACCATGCTCTAGAAAAAGCCATAAATATCATCAGATCTTATAAGTATACATATATGGTAAGACTACCAAATACCAGACTGTTTTTTTTTTTAACAAATGTCCCAAAACTTAAATCTCCAAATAAAAGCTACCCTTTAACATAGCTACCACAGGAAAACATATGGTTTTCTCAAATGATGCTGCTGTGACTCAAAGTATATTTCTAGTATTTCTTCTGACCTTGTTGTCTTTAAAGCTGGTCTTGTGCAAGAGAAATCTCATTTTTAACCATGGAGTGATGTTATCCAACTTGTTGATATGTATTTATATTTGTACCCAAGTGATTTCTGATGTTTTTCTTTAAACATCTTCAAAGATCAAGATTTATCACCATCGTGGGCATTTGAAAGGCCACAGCAACTCTCTTGAACAGTGCCAACACAAGTCGACCTCTGGCCTGCTGCCAAGGGCCTGGCCCAAGGAACCAGGGAATCCTGGAGGCGCTCCTGGCCCACTCCTCTCTGACATACTGTGTCAACCTCCATTGGGTCACTACTTTCCCCAACTCTGACAACCAGTGAAGATGTAAACTGCATATTCAGTTGTTTGGGGGGTGTGGTTGAGGCATAAAAACTCAGATGTCCTTGAGGACCAAGTAAGGAAATTTCCAGAATGGAAAAGACTAGAAAAAGTATTAAAAAGAACAGCCACTACCTCACAAGAGCCACTCATGGCCGGGCAAACACTTGGGCTCATGGGTGCCAGAATCTTTCATTATCTAAAAGAATCTGGAAGCCTAGATTTAAAAAACCATAATCTCCTGATTATTAAATATGAGCTAAAAATTTTTAAATTGAAATATAAACAAAAATGCATGATACATACACACACACACACATATATGTAAACATTCTTTGGGCCGCACAAAAGCTGTAGGTCATAACTTTGTGTCCTCTGGCCATGTAAACCAAAATAACATGTGACACTGAATGGAGCCCCAGCCTGGAAGCCCACAGAAGATTTCTCTGTGGATGTTACAAATAGGAACTTGAAGGCAAGTACAACAGCTCCTGAGAAGTCCACGTTATAAAAATCACAACTCTTCTGTGAGAAGGACACTTTTACTTCTTGCTTTGTTGAAACTATTTCCTCAACAAACACACAACTTTGTTTTTTGCAATCTGCTTATTTTAAAAACAATAATATTTTATGTTATTTTTTAAAGATTTATTCACTTATTTTGAGAGAGAGAGAGAGTACGTGTGTGCGAGCGGGGGGAGGGTCAGATGGAAAGAATCTCAGACTCCCCACCAAGCAGGGCTCAATCTCACAACCCTGAGATCAGAACCTGAGCTGAAATCAAGAGTCAGACGCTTAACCAACTGAGCCACCCAGGCACCCCTAAAATCAATAATATTTTAAAGAAATACCTTAGGGTCTACAGGTTGAACAAAAAAATATTCTTGCCTCCTTAATGAAGTGAATTTAACTTGCATGGTTTTTCTTTTTAAAAAAATCCTTCCAGTAGTTTGAGGGAAATTATTATTTTTTTTATTGCTTATTGATTAAGCCAGACTGCATACAACTGCAACAACCAAGTAACAGTCACTAAAAATATATACTAAACAAACAAATTTTGCCCCAATAGGCAATATAAAGTATTCTCCACTGCCATTTGTCAAAGTCTATGTGGGCTTAAAACTGTCAGAACACAAGGGCACAACCGCACATACTGAAAGAAGAGAAGTGCGCTCCTACCTATGGGAAATGAGCGCTATCGTCTGAACTGGGCTAAAAGAAAGGTCAATTCAACCCCACTGTGACTACCTTGCTGGTTCACCACAGAGCCTCCATCATTTAAGCTGTCCCTTCTGGTTAGGCAATTTCTTTATAAGGCCTCCACTGACACATTCACTCCCTAGCACTCATTGTCACAGACTGCCTGATGATGAAAACTGGAGATACGACGGCAGCTCACATTTATAGCTCGCTTTACAGTGACAAGGCACTTTTGATGGTAGGATCCCACCGTCTTCCTGAGCCCTGTGCTCACCATGTGGTGGGCCTGCCTCTCACCCCTCACACTCCTGGAGGGTTACTGGATCCCCTGTCCTCTCTCCCTGAGCACCACATCTTCACCCATCATAACCCCAGCACCACTCATGGTGCCCCAGAGACAACTGGAAGTGTTGAGTTTGTTATGTGGGAGGGAACTGAAGCCCAGGGAGGTCAGATGGCTCACTAAGGACTCCAACCCCCGCCCCATGGTGCCATTGCAGAGGCGGCCTTTCATTATCTACCCCCGTCATCTGGTCTCTGAGAGAGTGGGGCATGAGGAGAGATCACAAGGTTTGCACGAGGAGCTACAGATGGAGGCAGAGTGGATCGCAGAGACAAATTTCTCCTACGGGTTTGTGTGGGACCTGACCTCCCACCCACTGCAAGGCCTACTTCCTTCCTTTGGATGCACTGAGCCACTGGAACATTCTCCAGGCTGTTCTGGCACTCTGTTGCTGCTTACCCATTTGGGTCACCTTTCTTGGGCCTAAAGCCAATTTCACTTACATTGTTTCATACCTGAGTGAAACGAGACACTGAGCAATTCTTCTTCTTCCATAACTCACGCCCACAAACTCCCATCCAGTTTCCTTTCTCACCCAGCCTTCCCCCTGCTCGCAGACAATGAAGCATTGAAGGGAACTGTTTACATTGACCTTTTCATTAGTTTGAAGACAGAGTCTTCTAACACCCTCCTAAATGGTACATAACTGAGACAGAAAATAAGCTTAGGTTTCATCTGGAACCTTTTTTCAGTGAAAAATAAAGATCAAAGGTCAGAAGCTAAAGAACACAGAAAAGTGAGCATAAGCAGAAAGTCTGTAGTTTTCATAAAATCAAAGAGACTCATGTCTGGAAAGCAAATCGAAGTATCAGCAAGTCTTACTTTTTTTACCCAAAGTATTGTAGTGGTGGACGTCTATCTTCAGGGCACAACTAGCCAGAGATTTTACCACTGCCCTTTCTAACCAGAGAAAAATTGGAAAAGCTAAAGCAGTCAGCACGAAAGACTTGGCTCAAGGTCACGGTGGTGGCTATACTGCAGGGAGTGAAGGTCAGAGACCTGCAGCCCAGCCTTCTGTACCTCTCCCTCAACCAGGGTATGCCTGGAGGGACTCATGTGGCCAGAGGCCTGCCCAGTCACTTACCTATGGGGCTTTAGCTCTGAACACTTTCCTGCCTCTGTAGAAGACAGCAGTCAGGGCTGTTTGGGGGAACCTGCAGTATAGGTAAAAAGGGTTCTCTGTCCCAGCCTTGCCAGCCCCACATGCTAAAATGAAGCATGGGGAGCTGGAGGATTTGGGAGGGACACGTAGCTTGGCCTGTCCTGCAGGAGGCCACAGCAAAACACGCACACTCCCTTTTCTCCTTTCCCCCCCGAAGGGCAATTTAACTGCACATAACTGAATGCACGTAACTTCTAGAGAAAGATAACAGGTTCAGTTCCTTTTTTTCTGGCTGGAGTTAACAGGTCTTCCCCTACTTACAGAGGCTTTTGTGAAAGAATCATCTGCAGAGAATGGTGGCATTATTCAAAAGGCATGAGGAATGAATCAATACTATTTTTCCACTCACCTTCGCCTCTTCGTTCACGTCCCAGGTGAAGGAAACAGCATTATATGCAATCTCCTCGATGTTTCCAATCGTATTAAAGCTCTCCTTGTAATCAGCTGTAACATTAAAAAAGAAAAAGGTTTTAAGAAAGTAAGGGTTACTTGGTGACATGTACTGAACTGTCATTTTTCAATGGGGAGAGTTTAAACTTTGCCTACTCTTCCAGCTGACTGTCAGCAACAGTTAAGGATTTGTGCTCGCTGATATTCTTTCACTAATATTTACTCTATAAGAATGTTCCTCTATTAGAAAAGTAAATCTAGGTGAAGCAATGTTCCTAAGAGATTTGTCTACTGGTTTCATTTTTTTTACGAGGTTTATAAAGTTATTAATTTTTTCCCCTCCTGAATCCTTTGCCACCTACCCACTCCCTCACCTACTCACTTTCCCGTGGCTTAATTTTGCTGGAAGTGCCAGAGTATTCCACAGGGATTGTTCTGTAGAACAGATATCAGCCAGACAGCGTCAGCAGGACTTCAGGGAAGAAATTCCAGGAGAGTGCAGGCAAACCTTTTTTACTTCTTTTTGGATTTAGGCACAGAGAGTGGAGTTCATCATACTCAGCTCACTATCACCACTTGTCCATTCAAGGTCCTCACTTATTTCATTGTTTATGTAATATTCATGTATTCATTTGTATCCCCACTATCCTCTACCACAAACACAACAGCTCTCCCTGTGTTTGCTATATATTCTTAGGAAATAAGTTGGGTTGATTTGCCTGTGTGCATAGCTTTTATTTTCAGAAACTGTGTTGTGCAATGGCTAGAATGAGCAGATTTAGCAATTATTTGGGATATACTTACCCTGAAAAAGTACCTGTTATTTGTCAGTAATTCAAATTGAATTGGGCACCCTATATTTTATCTGGCAACCCTATCTATGAACCTCCTCAGATCTAATCACATTGCAGGTTGCATGCTTATTTCTAACATCAGCTGCAAAGAATTCCGTGGTAACCATCGGCCACTATTTACTTATGCCCTCTCTCCAGATACAGACCCTTCAGTGGTCTCCAGCTTTCTGGTACACAGACTACGTTGCCTTACTTATTACGGTCTCCACTGTCACTGCCTTACCTGGCATTAAGGTCTGGACATGATATTCCTAGTTTTAATCCTCACCTCTGGCCCCACAATGGGGGCCAGAGGAAGATTCAATGCTAATGATACTTGGAGGTCTTTTTGTTTATAAAATCTTTCTGAATATTTTTCTTACTGAGCTAGGACAGGAGTAGGTATTATGCCCAACTTCCAGGATGTATAAAGTGGTCGTTGTCTACAAAATCTGACATAGTTCTGGCCAAATCGTCATTTCCTGTGTCCTTCTAAGCTGCTGTGTCACCCCTGGGCTGGCAGCTTCTTTGAGGCTTAAACAAGCTATGTTAATGCTGGGCCATTCTGAAGTCTGCTTTCCTGAAGTTCACAGATCTCATCATTTTTATCCATTTCCTCCTCATTTATTATAAAATCTAAGTTCATGGGATCCTTTATCAAGATTTTAACTACTTTCTTTTAGTAAGACAACTCATTGTGTTTGTATGAATTATGTTGAGAGAAGCAGCACTCCTATCTGCTTTTTCTATCCATGATATAAATAATAAAACAAAGTCCATAATATTAACAGATCCATATTAACCCATAATAAAATAAAGTCAGTTTGATTTGGTTTTCTCCTTATTACCAGGACCTGGATTGATGGCTAATCCCAGAAAAACCCACTTAATGTGCTCTCCAGAATGGCCCTCCAGACCCATTCTCTAGAATGAGTTGTGCCAATAGAGACTTCCAACAGAATTCTATTTCCCCTTTTTCTCACCAAATTTCTACCTTTTTTTTTTTTGCCAATCCAAAGGATACAAAGTGGTATCCTATTGATGTAATATTCGCATTTCTTCTTTCACTTGTGAGTTCAAGCATCTTTTCACATCCAGGATACCTAACCCGGTGTCTGTTTATATAAACTGCCTGTTCATGGCCTCTGTCCACGTTTCTATTGGTTACCCCAGGGAAACTTTAGAGCAAAATTATGTATCTTTACATTTTAAATAAAGCATACACACTATATTACAAAAGCCTGTGTGTTCACCATAGACAATCTACTCATCCACAAACAACCACTAAAAACACTTCCATGCATAGACTTCATGTCTTTCCTACCTCAGTCTCTATCTCCCTTTCTCCAAGATATGTAAATATTTTTACACAATACTGGAACAATTATTTTTAATTTGCTTTTTTTCCCCCTTAATACTCCTTCAGCATCTTTCCAAGTCAATAAGTAAACTTGTGGAAAATACTTATAGTTGCCAAATACGATGATATTGAATTTTAAAAAGTGCCATAACTTTATTTTGCTCTTGTTGGTCACTTAAATGATGTCCAATACTTTGCTACCTTAAACAGTACTTCATTTAATTATCTTTATGGCTAAATATTCACACATACTTCATTATTTCATTAAGATATACTCTCAGAAGTGAAATTAATAGGTCAAAGGCAAATGTACTTTTAAGGCTTTTAATTCATTTTGTCAAATTGCTCCTGGAAAGGTTGAAACAATACATAGTCACAATAACAGTATATGAGTTCCTGTTTCCCCAAACGGTTTCTTTCCAAAATGATATGCAACACGTGGTACCTCATTATTTTAATTTGCAATTCCCTAATTGCAAAAGAGGTAGAACAGGCTTTCCTTTACTGTCTGGCTCTTTGTGTTTTTTATATTCTTTCTCTTCGTTTTTAAAATTTATTCATTTATCACAACAGCTTCTTGTTCTATCCTTTGCTCATTTTTCTCTTAGGGTATTCAAATTTTCTTATTGAGTTTAAAGTAAATATCTAAAGCTAAGAGATAAAAAAGAAAGCAAAGGAAAATAATTTCACACCCTAGAAATTTAGAATAAGGCTTTCTGGCTTTATTTAGGATGATTTAAATGCAAACCTGTGATTTCAGCAGGCCAGCCAATCTCTTAAAATTCTGAAGTGAGAAGTAGACTGTGGAATTTAAAGGAAGTGAGTTCCCTAATTCTTCATACCTATTTGTTTTAAAAGATAGTCTTGTAATTTTGTTTGAAGTTTTTAATAAGCATTTTAACAGCTTTTTAGTAAGTTTTTAATAAGCAATTGTTAAACAGCTTTAGGTCAACTGTAAATTTAAAACACAAGTGTCATATTTAGAAATAAAGACAAACCAAAGCGGTTTGGTCAAACATTTCAACCAAGGATTTTAAAAACAAATGCACTGCAAACACAAATACAAATACAATGCTTTCTGGGTCCCCTCATCTGGCACAGGGCCTCTGTCAGTTTCTACCATATTCACTTCATCAGCAAATGTACTGAACAAATAGGTACTGTGTGTCTGCTATGTGCCAGGCAGTGTCCTCACACTGGGGAAAGAGCAGGAAACAAGATGAGGTTCCTGATCATGTGGCTTTTACAGTCCAGTAGGAGAAAATAAATAAGTAGACAAATAAATAAATAACACAATTAAGTTTAATAGCTTTTTTATGCCAATAACAAAAAAACAAAAAGATTGGCAAGGCTACTTTTTACTAGATGGTTAGATTACCTTGTTTATTTCCTTTATACCATGTGCCAATATCTTATTTATTTGTTTACTTATTTATCACCAGCATTTCCCATTAGCTATTTGCTCTTTTTTTTAAAGATTTTATTGATTTATTTGACAGAGAGAGAGACAGCGAGAGAGGGAACACAAGCAGGGGGAGTGGGAGAGGGAGAAGCAGGCTCCCTGCCGAGC